TTATATTTAAAGAGAACGAGTAATACTGCATTTCCGAAATACTTCAGCCGTTTTTGTAGTCGAATTGCGTTCTCACAAATATCACATACAAACTTTTCTCACGCGCAAAAGAAGAAGGTTCTAATAAGGTATAAACAAGTCTTTTCCTGAGATGAAGTATAATAAAAGTGGAGGTAGTAAGTGAAAACTGTTTTCTACTTTCAGCCTCTCAGTTCCAATACCAACCTCGGAGAAAAGACAAGATCAAAAGATATTTCCAGAATAGCAGTACAATTCAATCTCACAAAAGCATTTTAAAAGTACGCACTTATCGGAAACATGTCATGTAATGAGATTGTGTGTGCACTAGTGTTTGGCATCTCCATCCATATTACACCCGCTTATGGCCGGTCCACGTACGATGATGATTCAATACCAACGACTGCTTCCTTCACTTCACGTCCAGCCAGTCAGACTTCGACAACTGAAAAAACCACACTGATTTTGACAACGGGAATTCAAAACAATCCCAGTTCGACGACTGAAAATTATATAGTCACTGTAACAACAGCAATCGAAAACATTCCGACTTCAACAAGTACAAGTCTCGAGTGGACAACCGGTATCCGAAACAATCCGAGTTCGACGACCGAAAATACCATAGCAGAAAGGACTACACTCACTGGACCAACAAATATTGATGTTAAATCAACTGAAACACCTAGAACACCTAACCCCGCGAATGGTCTTGATGCAATAACAACTGTTGGTGTTATCTTAGGAATAACAGTCAGCGTGTTGTCTATCGTCGGTGTTTTCTTTAGTATTTATAAAAAATGTTGTAGCCGCCGTCTGGAGTATATGAAACGCTATATGATGTCCTAGCAGGATACAAACAAGTCTTTTCCTGAGATGAATTTAGATTTTACATTCGACTTATGCTTTCAGAGTTAGGTTTCTGATGAGGGGAGAGGGCTTAAGGCTAAAGATATGAAAAATACATCAAGATAGGAAGGGATCTATTCTTCATGGGTGCAACATCTAAAAT